GGGGCTGCAGGGGAGATCATGCTTAGGGACAACCAACACGGGTTCATTAGGGGCAGGTCCTGTCAGATCAACCTGGTGGCCTTCTATGACCAGGTCACAACATCCTTAGACACAGGGATAGCAGTGGACATAGTCTTTCTGGACTTCAGGAAGGCCTTCAACACTGTCTCTCACCCCATCCTCATTTAAAAACTAGGGGACTGTGGCGTCGACACCTACAGAGTCAGATGGGTCGCTAACTGGCTGGAGGGCCGCACCCAGAGAGTGGTGATGGACGGGTCATTTTTGACCTGGAGGGATGTGGGCAGTGGGGTCCCCCAGGGCTCGGTCCTCGGACCCACACTGTTCAACATCTTCATCAGCAACTTGGACGAGGGGGTGAAAAGCACCTTGTTCAAATTCGCACACGACACTTAGATGTGGGGGGAAGTGGGCACGCTAGAAGGGAGGAATAGGCTGCAATCAGACCTAGACAGGTTACGGGGTGGGCTGATGAGAACAGGATGGGTTTCAACACTGACAAGTGCAAGGTGCTGCACCTGGGGAAGAAGACCCAGCAGCAGACCTACAGGCTGGGGAACTCCCCTCTCGTCAGTGCAGAGGCAGAAAAGGATCTTGGAGTCATTGCTGATGCCAAAATGAACATGGGCCGGCAGTGTGGGGACGCGGTCAGGAAGGCCAACCGCACCTTGTCATGCATCCACAGATGCATCTCGAGCAGGGCCAAGGAGGTGATCCTCCCCCTCTATGCGACACTGGTCAGGCCGCAGCTGGAGTACTGCGTCCAGTTCTGGGCGCCGCACTTCAGGGAGGGATGTGGACAGCATCGAGAGGGTCCAGAGGAGGCCACCCGCATGGTCAGGGGACAGCAGGGCAGGCCCTACGAGGAGAGGCTACGGGACCTGAACCTGTGCAGGCTCCACAAGAGAAGGCTGAGAGGGGATCTGGTGGCCTGTTACAAACTAGTCAGGGGGGACCAGCAGGCATTGGGGGAGTCCCTGTTCCCCCGAGCACTCCCAGGAGTGACTAGAAATAACGGTCACAAGCTGGCAGAGGGGAGATTCAGACTAGACATCAGGAGGCGATACTTCAGTGTCAGGGTGACTACGACCTGGAACCAACTTCCAAGAGAAGTGGTGCTGGCTCCTGCCCTGGGGGACTTTACGAGGAGGCTGGATGAACACCTGGCCAGGGTCGTTTGACCCCAGTACTCTTTCCTGCCAGGGCAGGGGGTCGGACTTGATGATCTGCTCAGGTCCCTTCCGACCCTACAAACTATGAAACTATGAAATACACAGGAAGTTTCTCACCTTGTGGCAAGTACTCTGCCGTTGCAAGGGGTTTATTCCTTGTTAGATATGGTACAAACACTTCAGCTTTCCTGGTGGCAGGCAATGTTCTGCCTCTAACGAACCTTTCTGTGCGGGGGGCCCTTTTCCTGCAAATCCGCCTTCAGATACTAGTTCTTCCTTCTGCATAATAAGTAATAAGGCAAGTTCCTTACCTGGGGCCATTTCTCACGTCCATGAACTTCAGCGTTCTCACAGAGAAGTGAGAGAGAGGCCGGGACACTCGGGTAGCCAGCATCCTGCCGACCGACAAAGGGCACCAACAGCAAGCTCCCGTCGCTCTGAAATGCAAGACAGCACCTCTCCTTTATTTGCTCGCGGCTTCTGTAGTCATGCTGACTCCTAGCATTTTAATAATAAAGTCCAAGGAGGTTTGCTGCCCCGCCTCCTTGCGCGAGTTCCCACATCAAGATAAACAGCTAAAATAGCCTCCACCACCTCATGTTTGGGTTGTTTGTTTTTTTTAAAGAGAAGAAAGATCAGAAGCCAACTGACAAGCAAGGTGTTTTTAAACCATCCCCATCTGTATTAGTCAGCTGCTACCTAACCTCTGCACTTCCTAAAACATTGAATGCAATTACCTGTTCAAGGGACACAGTTTTAAGCCACCTTTATGAAATACTTCTGAACCGAAATGCAGGTCCAGTACTAGGCATGATATAAAGCTTACATTTTCAAAGCACTCCCTGGGCTTTATTGCCACTAGCAACCACGCGCTAAAAATGTATGCAGCTCTTTGAAATGGAAGCAGCTGGCAACACCGAAGTGGCCTCGGGAAGTCGCTGCGAACGGTACTAAAGGAAATCTGCACGAACGCAGGCGCTCGGAAGAGGGGGCCTGTTTCACGGGGCTACCAGGTCTGGATAAAATAAGATCCAGCCATTTCCCCCAAAGCCTGAACCAAGCTTATCTTCTTCGAGGCTGAAGTAATACTGCTTACTATTTTAGAGTTAATCGCGTGTCGTTTTACACGTGCCTGAACTTTGGGAGTTTGCCTGCAAACAGAAGTGGGCCAGAAGCGTGGCTTATTAAAGCCACGAGAAGTGCTGGTGCTGGAGCCTTTCCTTTTCGGCGAGGAGGCGGCAGTCCTGGGGGTCTGGCAGGACAGGGCGTCCCCACAGGAGCCTGTGCACGCCCCGTTGCCGGCATGGCCCGCTCCAGGAAGCACGGTGCGACTCTTGGCCAAGGGTCCTCCGCGGCTCAGCAGCCTCGGCCAGAGGCGAAGGGGCAGGGAAAGGCAGCACGGCCACACGCCCCTGCGCGCAGCTGCGGCCCCGCCGTGGGACGCCCCCAGCGGCAGACACAGGCCACGGAGCCAGCAAAACCGCGCCTGGGTTTTTTAAAACAAATCTGCAAACTTTGTAAGACCATTCATAAAGTCCGCATCTGGGGAAGCAGAGATAACGATAACGAGGGTAACAGTCTCATGCAGCGGGGCACGAGCCCTGGGAGCGGGGGAATTCGAGCCCTGCGCAGCACCGCACAACGGGCCCGGAGCCGGCAAACAAAGCCACCGCGGGCGGAGCGCGGCCTGGCCCAGCCCCGGGCGCAGCTGTCGTGGACTTAAACCTCCCTGACACCGGAGCCGGCGCAGACGGCCCCTCGCCCGCCCGGGTGGGTGTGAGCAGCCGGCCGCGCCTTCCTGTGCCCAGGCCAGGCCCGAACAAGCGTTGCACGCCCGTGCGAGGCAGGTGCCCGGCAGCAGCAGCAGCAGCGCGGGGTCTCGACTGCGCACGGCGCTGTGCGGGCGATCCGGGTGTGGGGGTGCGTGCACGTTGGTGTGAGCGCGGGGGG